TCGCGGCAGCGAAGTACAACATCCTACCGATTCCTACATAGTCCCGCAGGCAAGACCTGGACACTCTCCTCAGGCTAAATTTACGTGTTAAAAGACAAAAAACACCGTGGACCACAGGAGGTTCCGTATTTTTTTTTTCACGGGAAAAAAACTTAAAAAAGCACAGTACACAGCCGGTCAATTTGGTAAACTCGAAGAAAAAAAAAAAAAAAAAAAAAAAAAAAAAAAAAAAAAAGAGAGCTGATAGCTTTCACCTGTACCACCAATTGGAGGAGAGAGGACAACTCGAAAAATAAATGCTCCAAAAAATCCGAAAAATTGACAGACAAAATCAGGAAAAACGTCCTCGAGAGAGACCGGGAAAAAAAAAAACGAAATGTCCTTCTTGTGAGAAAAAAAGGAAAAAAACAAACGTCTTTCTTGTGAGGGAAAAAAAAAAAAAAAGGCAATGTCCTCCTTGAGGCTACTGCGCAGTGCGTTCCCTGCAGGGGGCCTGCACTGTCAGAGGTGCACACACACCACGACAAAGGAAAGCCCACACTTTTTTTCTTCTTTTTTTTTCCGATCATTTCTCGATTTGTGCGTGTCGTCCTTGCGGAGGGGCCATGCTAATCTTCTTTCTCTGTATCGTTCCAATTTAAGGGACGTCCCAAAGGACAGGAACACCCACACTTCTAATTCAGATGAAAAAAAAAAAAAAAAAAAAAAAACAGAAAGGGGACCGAAAGCGTCTACAGAGAAGCCAGGCTCTAGAAAAAAAAAGAATTTTCGGGGAAAAAAACAAAAACAAAAACAAAACAGCCTACAAGAAAACCTACAAGAAAACCGGCCGTCCATGAAAAAAATAGCCTCACGCTTGCACGTGTTGTTGTTGCTCTCTTGGATAAATCTTTCCTCTCTTTCTACAAGAAAAACCTACTGGAAAACTGACCGCCCATGGCTGCGCATGGCTTCCTCTCTTTCTACAAGAAAAACCTACACAAGAAAACTGACTGCCCACGGCAGCACATGGCGTCACGCTTGCATGTGTTGTTGTTGCTCCCTGGCGAAGTCCTTCCTCTCTTTCTTCGGGTTTAAGATCTCTTCGACGCAGAAACTCATCAAATCTTGGTAGACTTCATGCCATCCTTGTCCATTATCGAGAGCCCTCCGCAGATCTGATCGCACCTTATCGACCTCCATCTGCACGGCTGCAACAGTTTCCCTTGTCTGCAAACACACATCGCCAACATCGCCAACATACAACGTACCCACCACAGAACCCCCCCACATAACCCCCCCACATAGATCCACCATTGTGTTATCTAGCCGATTGAAACGGACATTTGACAAACTCAAACTCGGGGTGGTGGTTCGGTTGCTGTGGACCGACCACAAGGCCCTTTGTTCCTACCGTCTTCACCCGAATAGAACGCCCGGTAAGTATCGCTGTATTTAGACTGGAAGTTGGCCCAAATACAGCGATAATTACTGGGCGTTCTATTCGGGTGAAGATGGTAGGGCTGATAGCCTTTGAGTCAAAGGCTCAAAGCCATCTGTGCCTCGGCCAGCATTTGATCAGCAGCCTGGTCTGGTGGCACCCCTGCACCCTTGAGGCACATTACAGTTGGCAGTTGGTACCAGATCGGTCCCATCGCCACGATCTGGTACCAACTGTTAGTACCCCTGGGCCAGCATTTGATCTGTCTCTTATACACATCTAGATGTGTATAAGAGACAGACATTACAGTTGGCAGTTGGTACCAGATCGGTCCCATCGCCACAATCTGGTACCAACTGTTAGTACCCCTGGGCCAGCATTTGATCAGCAGCCTGGTTCGGTGGCACCCCTGCCCCCTTGAGGCACACAACAGTTGTCTCTTATACACATCTAGATGTGTATAAGAGACAGCATTACAGTTGGCAGTTGGTACCAGATCGGTCCCATCGCCACGATCTGGTACCTGTCTCTTATACACATCTAGATGTGTATAAGAGACAGGTTAGTACCCCTGGGCCAGCATTTGATCAGCAGCCGGGTTCGGTGGGAGGCGTGATGGAAACTTCAGATACAACATGGCATCCACACGTTCCCATACGCATACGCAATGACAAGAGATCTTGGAGACAGCAATTCACACCACACCCGATGAGAGAATACACAGTGGAAGCATGTACCCCCCCCCCCCAAAAAAAAAAAGAATTGAAATTAATCATTTCTAATTAATACCCCGTCCTCTCTCCAGCCAATCAACACACTGTTTTTCGGACTTTTCCAACCGCGTTCCCATACGCATGCGCAACGACAAGAGATCTTGGAGAGAGCAATTCACACCACATCGGATGAGAGAATACAAAGCGGAAGCACGTAAAACCCAAAAAAAAAAAAAAGAATCGAAATTAATCAATCCTAATGAATACCCCGTCCTCTCTCCAGCCAATCAACACACTGTTTTTCGGACTTTTCCAACCGCGTTCCCATACGCATGCGCAACGACAAGAGATCTTGGAGAGAGCAATTCACACCACATCGGATGAGAGAATACAAAGCGGAAGCACGTAAAACCCAAAAAAAAAAAAAAGAATCGAAATTAATCAATCCTAATGAATACCCCGTCCTCTCTCCAGCCAATCAACACTCTTTTTCCAAGAATCCCAACCGCATTGCCAACACCCAGAAACCAATTATTTTAATTTATTTACGAGTTTCCCCTACAGATGATGACATGTCCGCACAGCAGGGAGCGCAGCTCCCAGGATGACGAAGAAGGAATCCAACTCGAGGAAGAAGAGATGGCTGCCACTTCGAAGGGCACTTGCATGGAGAGCTTCGAAGGCAGCAATGTCAACCCCAACAGAACACAAAATGAGGAAGCGCTTTGCAGCGCTTGGCCTGGAATCCCAGCGCTGAATCTCAATTAGTTGGCTGGCTTTGGCTATGGCCGCCAGCACCAACCCCAGGGAAGATGGCTGCGCAGACAGAAACAGCGCAGCAACCTTGAGTGCGACCTCCAGCAGCATTTCGTGAAAAAGAAGATGTAGAAAAAAAAAGAACATAGCAAATTGCAGACCCAAGTTTTGTTCCCTCTCGACCTCTAGGCTTGAGAGCCTACCGACCTACAGAATAAGACAGACCAAAGGACCTAAACAGGGGGAAAAAAGGGGGGAAATGGCAAAACAATGGCCTACGAAAACGCCCCTGCAAGGGACAGGTACGGGGATGAAGACTTAGGGAGACCTCAAACGCAGTCAACATTAGAGCAGAGCCCCTGATAGGCATACATAGGTCCAGGGATCGAACCCCGGGGAACCCAAAACTACGAAAAGTAAAAGTTAGAAACAACGGCTAACTACTTAGTTTGCAGCCCGCTAAACCCCTCCGGGGAGCGAGGACCCCTCCGGGTAGGAGTGTCCACGAGGATAACGTCTGAGTTTGCAGCCCGCTAAACCCCTCCGGGGAGCAAGGACCCCTCCGGGTAGGAGTGTCCACGAGGATAATGTCTGAGAGGTTGCCCTTCCTGTTCAGCCTCATAGACTCGCACGACTGAATTCGCAGACTTAAGAAGTTCCTTCCGCATAAACTATCGATCTTCAGAATGAGGCTGGAAGCAGAACTTCACAAGATATTCACAATTGGGGCCTGTGCCACACTGGTCTTCTATGCTCTCGACTTCATATCCCTTTCCAGGGATAGGGATAGACGGTCCAAACTGCAGTGGCCTGTCACGAAATGTGTCAGCAGAGGACTGAAAGGGATAGGAGGTTCCAACTTCGAAGCATGGAAGACTGGATAGAGTTCTCGATGTGAGGGGGTGCAGCAAGTACATAGAAAGGTCCAAGACTCCAAATGGATCTGCTCCCCCCCCCCCCCCCCCCCCCCCCCCCCCCCCCCCCCCCCCTGAACGGAGGATTTTTTTTTTTTTTTTTTTTTTTTTTTTTCTTTAATTCTTTTTTTTTTTTTTTTTTTTTTTTTTTTTTTTTTTTTTTTTTTTTTTTTTGTGGGATGGCTGGGAACCGGGCCCAGCGTCCCTTATGAAAGTACAAAATCATGAACTACCAGCGGCATCACCCGGCTCGGACTAAGGGCCATAGTGAAGTAACAAGCAACAACTGTCTTGAGATATCCTGTTCGTCAGTTAGCTCAGATCTTTTTGCCCAGACCCAATGACCTGGCCATATAGTAGAGGGAGAGCGATGCGTGCTATAGCCTGGTCTATCATCCTCTTCTAGACCTTGAGGCTTGAACATACTAGTTCTACATTTCTCTAAGTCTTTCTCATAACTCTTGGTAAACTCTGCAGTCCCAGGAGCAAGTTTAGGCTTAGACTTGTCAATCAGATCAGATCATCCAGAGATTGTTTGGGGTCTCTGGCAAAGTGCAGCCTATGGGGTGTAAAGCGTGAAGTGCTGTGAACAAAAGTATTATACATCAGTTGTGCTCTGGACAGATGTCTGTCCCAGTCCTGTTGATCAGGTGTAACCACAGAACTCAGCAGCTGAAACAGGACTTGGTTCATCACTTCAGCCTGTCCATTGGCTTTAGGATGTCTCCCAAAGGTCATGTCCAGTCTACATCGAAGGGAGTCTTTCCAGAAAAACTGCCAGTCATCGCTGCAGAATCTGGGATCTCTATCACTGACAATGGAGGATTTTTTTTTTTTTTTTTTTTTTTTTTTTTTTTTTAAAGCAGAAAGTTAAAAGCAGCTGGAATAGCACCAGTGAGCGCAAGAGGACCAGCCAGTTCATGTGATTTTGTTTCACGGAAAACTTCAATCATACCGTTCTCCACCTTTTGGCTAAGTAAGATAAAGTCTAGTAGAATATCTTCTGATCAGTTTAATACCTGATCAATAGTCAATGGGACTACACCATACTTGCGGCGCACGAGTGAGGTGCGGCATGCGGTGCAGTGCGCCTTGCGCCGTGCGCGGATCTAAGATGCGAACGCACGTGCGCACACTGCGCACAAAACGCGTACAGGTGCAGCGCACCGTGCAGGGCGCAACTTCGCAGGTGCGCGGGCCTTCTTTTTTTATTTTAGGGTTTTTTTTTTGTTTTTTTTTTTTGTGTGTGTGTGTGTGCGCGTGTGTAGTGCAGGCCACTACTTCGCTGTGTTCGTGAACTTCGATTGAGGGCAGCGTTGCCCTCGGATGTATCCTTCTAATTTCCAGGTCGGATACATTCATGATCAGCAGCCGTTTCGAGGAGACAACGCTGTCCTGGATCCAAGTTACCCCGCCAACCAAGTTCCCGCCCTGTATGGAGGGCAGTGTTGCCCCGAATGTATCCTACCCTATTATCAGGTCGCATACAGTCGTCATTGGCAGTGTCAGAAGAACGGCAAAAGAAAATTATGTACGTCTGGAAAAATAAAAGCAAAAAAAACAAAAAAACAGACCGAGAGAGGGGTGTATCTCCTACTCACACTAGGACTTTTCTGGATGTATCTAACGGCAATGATGCCTGGAATCACGTCCGTAGCTGAGTCTGGCCAGATCCCACTGGCAAAGAGGATTGGAATGAGTGTCTGAATCTGTAAGTGTTTGTGGAGAGGTGCAGAAAACCGTGATCGATCTGCTTTTCTGCATCTCTGCGTGCAACACGTCCAGATTCAGACACTTATTCCAATCGTCCTTGCCAGTGGGATCTGCCCCCCCCACCCGCTCACCACATGCACAAAAACAAAAATTATGGTGGTGTATATTTCCATGTTCTAGCGGAAGATTCATTCTCATTTTGCACAATTGCTGAGTAGTGGAGCAACGTCCCTAGTGTCAGTAGGGCCTCGAAGTTAATGTTGTCCTGCCTATTATTAGGAAAAGAAAAGAGAGATTGTCAGGAGTATCCGTTGTCCAAAAACGGAGCCGCGCTCCATTACTCCACACGTGACATTCGGAATGTATTGGGAGCATTAACAGCTCCAGATACAGAGCATTGTAGACTCTTTGTGCAGTGGAGCCACACATCTTTGGGGGCGGCCGTAGCGCTCGGACCCCAATTTTTTTTTTTTTGTGGAATTATTATTTTTTCGAGTTAGGGGAATGGGTGTGCCATCCAACCCTACCACTCCCGAATTTTTTTTCCCACCCCTATTTTAAGGGATGCGGCGCACCATGTGCGCACGCATGCATGCGCGTGCGCTTTGCGCGGCACGTACGTGATGCGCCGCAAGTATGGACTACACACATACATTTTTTTTTTTTAAGTGGAGAAGAGAGACAATTCTATACGTTTCACACTGTACATCACCATGTCTGCAGAGTCGTAAACAAAAGCATGCCCTCCCCCCGCCAACCCCCCTCGCCCCACCACACACACACACACACACACACACACACACACATGCAATCAGTTTTATGTCTGTCGGTCGTTCTTCTGTTGTCTGTCCTCCCTGATTTTTTCTAAGTATTTATTTTGTGTGCCCAACTGAGCACCCTTAAGTAGTGCCAAACAGTGGGTGGTTCCTCGTTTGGAGTGCCTACTGCACTCTTATGGGGGCCGCTCGGTTCGGGTTGTCTGTGTTGCCTATAGGTGATGACAGATGTTCGTGGAGTGACTCCCTGGCTCAGTGGGTGGTGGGAACCAACAATCTGTGGGGTTCAATCGTGATGTGAGTAGGTCATGTGCTGCTGTGCTCCGTGTTGGATGTGTGGATTGCCTCGTCTGCGCTCTGCCGGTGCCTTGCTGCCTGTCCCACTGGCGTCACATGTGGTTCTCTGCGAATTGCTGTGTTCGCTGTGCGGTGTGGCCGTGCTGTTGGTGTTGCCTTGCACTTCGCTGCTCCACTGCCGTGCTGCTCATCCGCTGGCCGTGCCTTCTGTGTTTGTCGGTGGTGTGCCCTGTAGGTTGGTTGCCTTGTTGCTGGTGCCTTGTGCTCCGCTCCACGGTTGCTGAGCTGCTGGTCTGCTCACCCTGTCGTCCCCTGCAGTGCTGTTGCCTTGCTTGGGTTGTCTTGTGCTTCACTACAAGATTGCCGCGCTGCATGCCCTGCGTGCCATGTCACTCCTTGCAGTCGCTTTTGGCGTTGTGCAGCCGTGTTGCCTCTACTGTGTTGCCTGGTGCTCCACAGGGTTGCTGCCCGTTGCTATGTTCCGCTTGGAGACAGTCTGCCTTCAACAAGGGTCAGAGGGTTCATGACCCAAACCATCAAATATGGGGATTCCGCAGATTGTCGAGGGTTCAGCCTCCTGATGAGCCGGTGCAACTCCGACGAAACAATCTTGTTATCATCAGTTTTTATTTTTTTCGGTCTTCCTTTTCTTGAGACTTGTATGTTTTCGGTTTGCCTGTTTCATGTTCTTGCGTCGTCTGCCCTCCTGCTTCCTCTGTGCCTTCCAGCCTCCTCTGTGTCTTCCAGCCTTTACTCTTTGTTGCTGCTGGTCATCCTATGCCTTGGTGTCCTATGTCGTTGTGTGTCCACCCGCTTTTCCCCCGTGCCCTCCAGCCCTTGCTCTTCATCGTTGCTTGGTGTCACATGCCTTTTCCTTCGTCGTCTTTTATCTGCCTTCCCCCAGTACTTGCTCTGAACTGTTTGTTTGCCTGCCCGCCTCCCCCCTTCCCCCCCAGCCTGTGTGACATGATGTCGTTATTTGCCTTGCTGTTCATTGTATACGTTGTTGCTGGCTGTCAGTTGCTTTGTCCTATTGGACTGCTGTTTATGGCTCATGGCTTATAGTGCCCTCGGGCTCTAGTCCTTGTGTCTTAGTAGGGTTGGTGAATGATAGAGGCTTCTGCATGCCATGATCACAGTACAACGGGTAATAAGGACCCAGCGGTGTTCGGATGCTTGAACGGTCCCGGTGTGGGTGATGCAAAGGCTTGCTGTATGGGTCTTTCTAAAATGGTGTGAAAAGCTCCACATACCCTAAATGCAACTCGCCGCGATTCGCGTCGTGGTAGCGTTATGGTTAGTTAAACACACACACACACACACACTTCGAACTCCGAAGTCTGACCCCGTGGTTCCAGACAGCACTGGCTCGGACAGATCTTAGAGATTACGAAACGTGGAGATGACCATCGGCCAGGCTTGTCTCTTTGCTTGCTCTCATCCAAGAAACCCATAGACATATGTTCTCAGATGAGCAGCACTCTTTCACATAAGAACTTCAAAAGTTAAAAACATATATCATGACATTATCATCATATCTCAAATGACATCAGTGACATCTGCAATGTCCGCCTTCTTACCTCTGCCTCCAAAACTTGTCGATCCAGCTGTGCTACGCTGTATGACTGATCTTCATTCTCTTTCTCGCTCAACGGCACACCACTTGGGAATGAGCGCTTCGGTGGTAATGGTCGGGCCCCGAGCAGCATCACAGGAGCTCCTTCCCATGGGGCTGGATCATTTGCTGCTGGCTGTCCGGTAGCTGTACTTAGACAGAGACATTAAAGAATGCACACAACGAAATACATATATAGATATTAGATTAGCTAAAACAAACAAGGTTTAACAAACAAATAAGTTGTAGATTTAAGCTACATAATAACTTCATCAAGAGTGTATATTAGTGTATAATCATATTTGTATTGTCTGCAAGTTACGATGACTGCGTCACCATAACAAATATTGTATGTCGATGACAATCGGTATATACTATATACTATATACTATTATAATAAATATCGCTATAAGTGACACACACACGTTGAGCTCGATACTATTGCCCATGGAGATAACAAAGTCTGATAAACGCAAAAGAGGAGTCTTTTGAAAGTTCTTTTGAAAGTCTTCCCCCGCCCCCCGCCTCCAGCTCACAAGTAGCACAAAAAATGTAGCGTGCTGCAGTTGATGTGCAATGTCCATGCAATCTCCATGCAATGCAGCACAATTTTTTCCAATAAATGATTAAATCGGATTAATTAATTATAATTCATTAATTATTTAATTGAAATTTGAAATTTTCGAAAATGTTGAATATTACTACTAATTTACTAGGCTACCAGAGTGGCCCGGGACCACTTGCCCGCCCAGGCCAAAAAAATAAAATACATTTTTAACTTCATTTTTCATTTTTTAGTTGGTAAAGAATTTCGATGTGACCCTGAGGCAAAAGTTGTTCAGTTTATTTTTCTGCGTAACATAGTTTTTTTCAGATTTTGTCGTGTTTTTTTTTTTTTGCTGGGACCTACTTTGGCCCTTGCACGGCCAGGCCGCCCGGGACAAACAAGGTCACCTGGGCGGCCCGGCTGGTAGCCTGGGAATATTATGATTACAATAAATATTTGCTTTAGGAGGGTTTGGTTACGATTTCGTGCACCACAATGCTGTCACGACAGAGTACTCAAATCACATGTACTATCCCAAAACAGCTACTGTGTAATAACCCTGTTCAGAAGTAGCCTGGGGCCCAGAACTCAGCCCCAGGCCACGCAGACCTGAGAAGGTCTGCGCTGGGCTGTGTGACCAAAACACGCCCAGGCCTGAGTCTGTCGAGTGTGGCTGTGTGACCGAACACTGCACACAGGAAATTCAAGAGTCAAAGTCAACTGTAGAGTCAAAGGTACCGCACCCAGGCCCTGGGATGGATACACTCACTTGTTGTGTGCAGGTACCCAGACACCATCCAGGCCGGAGGGAATTCGGTTTCAGGCCGATCTGAGCCCTCATTCGCATTGAGATCTGGACGGCCGAGGGATACAGCATCCGGGGCCCAGACCCCGCGTCAACACTACATAAGAGTTGACTTCCTGGCCTTGACATTCATTCTGTCTTGCGTTGAGGCTGACTCCACGCGTTGACTACAACGCTGACTCGACGCTGCTACGCTGGCTGGACGCTGCGACGCTGGCTATGCCGGCATTGTGATCTCGGCAACGCGCTGCTTGTCCGGCATGGTGGCTGGCTTGCACCTGTCTTCATGGTATGCTGATGTGGTGCCACGCACCATTGCTGAGGTGGCTGCTGCCACGTGTGTGATTGGCTGAGGTGGCTGTGGTCACTAATCTACTGCTGATGTGGCGAGGCTACAGATGCGTAATGCTGTTCTACAGATCGTCATTCAGGAGGTGATCAGGACTGAGGAGAGATCGTGATACTTACCTGGAGTCTTCATGTCGACATTGCTTCATTGCTGATGTGGAAACGATTGGTTGTGCCACGTGGCACTCTGGAGGATACTACAGATACTCATTCAGATCATTGATTTCTGCGGAGGTGCCAGAGGAAGAAGCCCATGGGAGAAGTGGGCACTGTCTATCTCCCTCTTGTCTCAATCTCTTCTCTCTCTCACCTCCTTCGTCTGTGTATGTCTTCTCATCTATTGGGTATCTGGCTACGATTTTGATTACTGACTATCATCAGCTGTTCAACATTTTGGACTTACACTGTTGACATTGTCTTCACTATCTGGGTTCATTGCAACTGCCTTCTTCAACCAAATACAATGTATGGTCATTATAACCGTATTTGGAATATTTTTCAGTCTAAGCAAAAACACAGCAATAATGACCGTAAATTGTATCCGGGTGAAGAAGGTAGGGCTGACCAGACAGCTGCATATTTACGAGTGGTGGTTAACGGAGACCCAAAATATCAGTGTTATTTTAATTTTTAATGCTATTTATAAGAAAACCCGAAGGCCTTTTTAACCAAAAATTGCACCATTGCATACAGTGCACACCATATTAATTAACAAACCACCACAAAAAAAAAAAAAAAAACCTGGGTGAAACAGTGAGGCAAAAGTGCACTTGAATGAAAAATTGCATTCAGAGCTAGGCTACCAGAGTGGCCCGGGGTCACTTGCCCGGCCGGGCCAAAAAGATAAAAAAAAAATATATATTTTAAAATTTTATTTTATATTTCAAATTTGGTAAAGAATTTCGATGTGAGCCTGAGGCAAAAGTTGTTTAGTTTATTTTTCTACATAACTAGTATTTTTTCAGATTTTTTGGATTTTTTTTTTTTTTGCTGGGACCTTCCCTTGTCCTTGCACGGGCTGGTAACCCGGGGCCCGGGCGGCCCGGCTGGTAGCCTAGATTCAGAGAGAATTTCAGAGAATTTTCAGAATTTTCAGCGTTTTTTGGAAATGGTCACGAGAATTGAGAGGGGGGAGGGGGGGGAGACAATGCACCTGGATACTTCTGGAAGACTCCAAGGGGTATCGTGCTTGCTCGGTTTCTTGCCTTGATAGGCTCAAGGCCTAGTAATCCCTGAGGTCTGGGCACAACCAGCACGTTCGTCACCGGACCTGCATATGTGCCACACAGTCACACACCGCACGGAGGATAAGTAGAGTAGAAAAGAGTGAACCTCCAAGCAAAAGAGAAAATAAAGAACAACACAACAATTTGAAGGTCGCAAGTTCGAACTGTCCCTTTCTGGCTACAGTCGCTGTGTGGTTCTCGATGACCAAAAATTCCCCTCATACAAGAAACAGGGGGGACTACAGACTGTTTTGTAACTTTGTCGGAGACTCGGCGTTTCACAAACAGACTCATCAAACAAATGTTAAACCCTAAGCTGACAAATCACCCCCTTTGCAATCTGCCTGTCGTGACACACCTAGTGTGCCTCTCTCTCTCTCTCTCTCTCTCTCTCTCTCTCTCTCTCTCTCTCTCTCTCTCTCTCTCTCTCTCC